TCTTGACAAATCTGCCAAGTTCCACTAATTCCAAGTGAAAATACAAACCAGGTAGATATACACCAATCTACCCCAAGAACTATCTTACAACACCACAAGATAAACTCTTGAATTTAGCACCCAATAACCAAACCCAATTCATCGTAACCGAGTGCAGATTCAAAACCCAATCTACACAATTAACCTTTGTACAAGTATATGAAAAGAATAAACCCGGATTCGTAGCTTTAACAATATCAAAGTCCAAAAGCAATTTCCCCAACTCAGAACTTTCTCTCTTGATGATCTTTCAACAATCTTGATCTAAACGCCTTATGATATGAAAAGTTTTATGAATGCACAGAGAAAGGCATGAATATGAGAGCTCTAAGATTGCTTTCAAATGTTTTCCAAAATTGTTATTCCAACAGAGAAATCCAAACTGTATTTATAGAGTAAAAGTGAGAAACTGATAGATTTAATCACTTTAAAATAACTTGGAGTAGCGGATGACCGATCAGAATAGTTTTATGACCGATCAGAACTAGATATGATCGATCAGAATTGAGTTGTGATCGATCAGAATCAGATATGATCGATCAGAATTGAGTTGTGATCGATCATAATATTTTTCAATCGATTAAAATGATGTTTCAATCGATTGATTTCATTTAAAAACTAATTCAATCGGTTGTTTCGAGTTTTCAATGGATTGAAACAGTTAGAAGAAAAATGGTAGCTCTCTGTTTCAACAGATTAAAATATATTTCAACAGATTGAAATCCTTGTGATACTTTAGAAAAAAATGATCTCTCTGTTTCAACAGATTAAAACTCATTTCAACAGATTGAATTTCTGAGATACTTCAAAGTGAAAAATAACATCTCTCTGTTTCAACAGATTGAACTTGATTTCAACAAATTAAAATTGCGAAACCTTTAATATGGAAAAAATCATTAAGAACATTTTAACTTGTTGATTATGCGATTCAATCAATTAAAATTTTGACAGCATATCAACATTTCCTATTTTAAGTGATTTTAACAGATTGAAACTTCTTTTTAACAGATTGAAAAACTCAGTTTGTTCTTTTAATGCTTAAAGGTTGGTTTTTCATGCAGTAAAATAAGTTCAATGAGATACATCATTTAAAGGCGCTTATCACAAGATCTATTGATCAATCAAGAGATTAAATTCTAAACCTATAACCTATTCACCTACACACCCACAAACTAAACTCTATAAACTCTTTATGTCTTCATCAAATCCAACAAGTGTTTCACAATGCACCATCAATATCAAGTCTTTGGACAGTAATATTAACTGCTAGGGGTATCTTATTGTAATGGTCAAACATTGACAATAGAACACGTCTAACAATAAATCAGTCTTTGGATTGATTTATCATCGACAAAGCAAATCCTTATAATTATCACATGTTTATCATTACAAGTGTATATGCAATTCGGTCAAATATTAATCTTCCTTTGGATCGACTAATACTCGCATGAATATATACAAACACTAACATTCAATATTTTCTACGAACTACCCAATTCAAGAGATGTTACTTTGGTGACTTCTTGACTCAATTTGTTCACAAAAAAAAAATATTAAACTACCAAAAAATTGAATATATTGATTATATAACAAAACTAAATATTTAATATTTATTTATTTAGAGTTAACAACACAAACTAATTCAAAAGACAATCACCTCATTAGGATCCCACTAAGGATGAACACCTCCCTAGAATCACACTAGAGATGAAACAGAGATAGTTCTGACCCTCTTTAACACACTGCTCAAGAAATAGTGCAACCACCTAAACCCTAAAAGGGGATTAAACAGTAATCACTCAAATCCTAAACAGAGAATTTAACATCAACTTCCCTTAAACCCCCAGAGGATAAAGACAATAAAATAAGAACAGTCACACTTGTGAAAACATTCACCAGTTGCCTAAGATCCTCTGTGTTGGGAACTCCCCCAACATCACCCCCAATTCCAAACCCATCCATATCCACCATGAAAAGAAAGCGAAAACAAAACCCAGAAAAAATAAAAAATAAAAACAAAAACAAAAGATTCAAAGAGAATAGAGAACTCAATACAAGAAAGATTGAAACTTGAAACATTATTTCTTTCTTAGTAAAACTTGAAACTTAAACCGAAACAAAAGGGAAAAACCGAAAAAGAAGAAGAATTCATAGTTTCCTCTGCTACGATGATGAAATTTTATCTCTTTATAATGAAATTGATTGAGTTTTAAGAAATCATGAATTAGCCAATTTGGGGATCATATGAACCACTAACCTCAATCACTCACACAGTGAACTCTCAAATGGTCTAATCCAAATGAGAAGAAACATTGAGAATCATAAATGGGTCACAATGATAAGGTCATTGTTGCTCACCATAGCCGAAAAATGTTCAACAAAGTCACTGTGTTGTCGTTGTCATTGTCAGTCAAAAGAAAATCGTCATGTGCGTGAGCAAGGTAAAGCCTTGGGAGAGATATAAAAATCTTTTTCGTCAAAACATATGGGGTCTAACATAAAAAAGTTAGTTTTAATTTAAAAAATGTTATCATATTTGTTGTTACGTTGAATAATAACAATAAAAGAATAACATAAAATGTGCATTTTCACTAGTGTTGGTTGCTCAAAGGACTATCTCTTGCTTGAGCAAAAATTTTATAGATATCATACTCTACAAAATGGTCTAAAAGTGTTCCTACACCTTAATTTAATTTTAACATGTTTCAACTATAACTAACTTTTTTGTTTAAAATGTGGTATTATTGGACTTGACTTCCCCCTTATACTGTTTTACAAAACCAATATATCATAGTAATGCTTACCCTTTGCTAAATATAAACACATAAAAAATAATTTAAGCATACAACATCATTGAATCCAAATGTTACTTCCTGTCATTCAACCTTAGTGATTATGTAAATCTACCACATTAAGATCTTTTAATTTGGAGTACTGAAAAGTTTACTATAGGATCTCCAAACTTGTTCACAAAGGACTTTGATTAACAAATTAAACAAAGCAAAGTCCCGTATTCATCAAGATCCATCATTCCCTAAGAATTGCCACATTCAAGAAGATCTCAAACATATGCAACCTAACACCGACATGCAAACCAACCTAGAAAAAAAAAAAAAAAAAAAAAAGAAACTTGCTTTGTAACAACTTCTAATCGAATAAAAGTCTTCCTTTCTCCACTAGGAGCATTATAGTTAGAGACTTAAAAATTTAGAGAGATTGTGGTTTTATAAGAAGGAAGTATGAATAATTAAACTTGTTTTGTTTATAACTTTTTAAACTTAAGCATGAGAATTCAAACTTCACTTCATTCAATCACCTTCACTGGTAAACTAGTAAAAAATCTTGATCCTAATATTCTTTCCTCAGATAGATTTTGTCCTAAAAAATTTACTAAGAAAAATATAGGAATATGTTTCCTTCTTCCTCCCACGAGAAGACTTCACATCCCATAACACTTTTATAGTATTAATAGCCTACTTTAAGGGTTTTTTTTTTTTTTTTTATCCTCAATCTTGACTAACCTAACCTCAAAAGACAGATCTCTCTGACCTACAAGTTTTTCACTTCTAACAAATGGCTAAGATTAGAAACACATCTCCTTAATTGAAAAACATGAACGACATTCATCAAATGAGGAGGTAAATTAATATCATAAATCATTGAACAAATCCCCTCACACTCTGACATGGCCCATCAGTTGCAAAAGTTTTTCACAAATTTCTCCAAAAATAGTCTTTGTTAGTTTTTCGCAAAATTGTCATAAAATTTCTTTCACTAATTCTTTAGCTTGCAAAATTCCTTTGATAATCCCTGGCAAAATCCTTTTTTTAATAATAATAATTGGAACTAAATGTAGTGTTGATGTTTTTCCTTTTTTATGAATGATTTTGTTAATGGTTATCGGGGTACCAGACGGATATGATTCGGTACTTCACAGCTCTCTCTGCATCCACGAACAGAACCCTAATTACAAAACTTGGAGAATAAGGATATACCAACTTTAAATAAGTGACAACTATCACTGCAAATTATTGATGCAACTGCTCATTTCGTTTCACGAAATTCGAATCGTAAATTGAATTAAGGACTACATTTATATAGATATTGTCAAAACATACCGTTCACATTAAAAAAATCAAAATCCACATCATGTGGATAAGGTGCAGAAGACAAAAAAAAAATTAATACACACATAAACCGAACGTCTCTTAACATTAAATCATCAAAAGGACTAAAATCAACCTTTTAAAATGCATAAAATACAAAATTTTAACTTTTAAATTTAATGTAAAAGTAACATTTAACATTAAAAGAAAATTATAATTTTTTTGCCAACAAAATTATTTAATCATAAAAAAAGTCTAAATATTTTACTCCAATAACATCATCATAAAAATTTGAAAAATATAATTAAGCAAGGGAAAAGTAAGTGCTTAAAAGTAACAGTCAGAACTCAGGAGAAGCGTAATTTTATTCCTTACAAGTCATAGATTCACTTCTACATCACTAAACTACATAAAGTTCATGACAATGACTTCCTCTATAAGCAAAAAAGAAAAAAGAAAAAATATTTGTTTCTCGATTGTATTTTTTTTCTAAGCTTGCAAACATCAAGCTTTCAATTTTCATTTTTTGTGCACGACACGACACAGACCACACGACAACACACCAAACCAAACTGGCGGGTGGTAAACCTTAAACATCCACCCCTGCCACCTAAACTCTCTGCCTTTTCAAATGCTCGGCAAACAAACACAAGGACCATCCTAAAACAAGTCCTTCACCACCAACTCCTGTACCATATTACTTATTTTTTTCTATTATATACCAACATGATTAGGAAAAATCCAAATCTCATATTGATAAGACAATTCTTACCCTACAAATCGATTTATCGATTTTTAAGGTTGACTTAACATGCTATAATATAGTATGAAATATAATAAATTTATGTTATGTATTTAAATGAATTGTTGGCCATTGAAGGTTTGGCCAAAGGACCAACTTGGGGGTGCAACATTATAAGAGACCACGGTGCGTCCGTCACTGGTGGCAACCTTAAAAGAAAGGGTTTGTCCATTGAGGTAAGTGTTGCTTTGCCAGTTCTGACCCCAGTTTCTTGTCATAGGTTGCCAATTTGTTCTTGAACCTTTGATGGAAACTGCATGAACATCACCAGCACCTCCAACGTTGGTGATTAGGACTAGGTTGAAGTACGAGTGGCCGTTGATGGTGAATCTGATGCCCCCTCTCTTTCGGCAAGGGACCCTAACAGTAAAAGTAAAAGAGAATCAGTGTTTTGGACAAAAAGTAAGCTGTCACTTGGTAACTGGAATATATTCCTAGTCACAACATCTCTACAAGATGAACTTTATTTGTCAAATATTCAAAAACAAAAGAATCTGATAAACTTGAGAATTATTTTCAATTGTTTTTATTTATGTAAAAAGCTGTTGTCCTCTGGAAAACCCTATCAGCAGACCAACTTTAAAACGTCATATTGTTGGATAAGAAGTACTTAATTCTAAGCCTTGTAATAAAGGATCCAGGAAATTCTATTCTGTGTTCCTATATTACAATTTATACAATGTATTGTTTATGTAACCAAAAATCCCTTAACAAGAAAAGAACAATTAGAATTATGAAACTAAAAAACTCATATGAACAGTCAGCACTTCTGCTGAGTTTATTTGTAATTTTAGAACAAAGAGAAAAGATTCTACACCATGCTCAGACATGGCCCTGTGCCTAGATGTGCCAAAATTGACGGTTACCAGATTTTGTTTTGTTAGGCCTTAGAATGGGTTACATGACTCAAGAGGAGCAGACAATATTTTCCTAATAAAAATCCAAAATTCCCTGCAAACTTAAACCAAATTTAATTATATTTCCATTTTTTAAATTTTTTTAATGAATCTGATTTTAGTAACTTAGATTAAAAAATATGTCAGCCTTTAAAATTTGAAAACTGATTTTAATTTTTTAAATTTATTGTCCATAGAATAAAAACAGCTATTTTATTTCATAAAAGTCATTCCTTAAAGACTAAAAATGTATTTTATATTTTAAAATTAAAATTTTTAAACATGAAGAATTAAAACCCAAATTCATCTCAATATTAATTAAACTTTTATCAAATTACATAAACATCCTCCATTTCTTTAATGTAATTAAATCTCTTCATAATGATATAATAGTTCTGAAAAAAAAAATTAAGGAGGTTTATAGCGTAACTTAAAAAGAGTGTGTATAATATTTTTTAAACAATTTAAAAAAAAAAGTGTAGAAAGATGATTGGATAATATTATAAAATTTGGAAATGATGAGTGTAATTTCTCCATACCTTCTGTAAGCAACGGGTACTATTCCAGCCCTGTATTGAGCAATTTGTTGGAAGACAGGTTGGGAAAGGTCGAAATGCTGAAGGGGAGGGTTGCACCATCCTCCTGCATTATTTGGGAGAGCATTGTTGGGGGGACAGAAATTGGTTGCAGTGACCACAACTGAGTGTGGAAGGCACCACCTGTTGTCTTCAACACACCTAATCTCGAAACACGCCCCACAGCTTAAACCATTGTTGAACAAAGCTGTGCTCAGAGCAGCACTGTTTGTTCCGTACCCCTGGCTATACAAGTTCCCATACCCACACGCTCCACCTGCAACAACAAACCATAATTAATTAAGAAACCAAAATATCAAAACCTCTTATTTACATAATTTAATTACATTTTTATTACTTTAAACTTTTGATGAATTTATTTTTTCTCAACATAAGATGTTTTTATTACTCCATCAAATTAAAACTTGAGAGATTAGAATGTTCTTTTCAAATCCGTTTGTAGTCTCCATAAACAATAAATTTGAAGATTTTTTTTTTTAATACCAAAACTAAATTTATTCCAAATTCCAGAGACAAAACATAATTAAGTCTATTAACATATAACATAATTCAAATTAATAAGCCTATGATGTAGGTAGGTATGATGTAGTAATAAATTTACATAACTCTTTATGATAGTTAGGAAGATTATATAAATTACTTTTTGTTTCTTGTGATTATAGAATGAGCATTGTGTGTGTGTGGCATGGCCTAACAAAAATAGGAGTGTAACTCACCCATAGTGCCAGAGGCATCACCCCCTCCATAGAAGGTTGCATGAGCACTCATCCAACCGTAACCAGAAGCAGCAGAGGAAGGTGAAGCCAAAGAAAGAAATCCCACCAAGAGAAGTCCCAAAAGCACCATCTTTCTAGTGATAAATAGAATAAGAACTTAATGGAGATGGAGAGAGAGTGTATGAGTGATGAGGAAAATGAAAGGAGCATGGGTGGGATATAAATAGATGTTGTGAGGGAGCAACGAGGGTTCTTTCTTGCTTTAACCAACGTCGTGCCAACAAACTGACACATTTTTGAGGTGTGTGGACCAGATACCGCCAAGTGTGTTCCCATTTCATTTTTTATGCAGGGACAAGGCCCTGTTCCTCAAACCACGTGAATTAAATTCCTCTTTTCTCTATGTTTTGGTGTCTTCCTACTCAAAATCCAAGTTTTCTAAAACGGGACGCAACATCAAGGTTTACTACGAGTCTTCGGATTTTAATTGTGCTCTTTTCCTGTTCTGTCATAAGTTTCTTCGAGATGAAAAATTAGTCTTATTTATTAATACTGTTATTTTTCTTAATATCAAATCAAATATGGCATAGAGACTTATGATCAGGAGTGTACTTTATTTAACCTTCTTTGTTGTGACTTGAAGTTCAAACATTTACGCTATGCTGATGTGCAAGTAGAAACTGTGCTTGGAATTCAGCATCAACCAGTTCTTTTGTTGGCACACTTTTATTTTACTTGATAACTTACTCTAGTCAATTTGTTTGAGTGAATAGAGACCAATTTTTCCGAAATATTGTAGAGTGAATGTGAATTAGCCTTTTCAACCTAAAATGAATAATGGAACAAAAAATTCTTCACTAACGGTTTAAAGATAAATTACCAGAACCGATAAAACTGACAACTTTTTTCTATTCCAAGCAAAATTATTTATTAGCCACAGAAGCCGAAAGAGCTCTTAAAATAGAATTTATTAATGCATGAAAGCTGATGAAATATACGTAATTAATCTGCGTTATGATTAACCATTGCATAATTTAATTTCATAATAACCCTTCATATGCAAACACTTTATAACTTTCTTAATAAAAATAATAATTATTATTATTATTTTTGTTACACTTTTTTATTATATTATTCTAAAAAAATCAAGATTATATAAAAAAATAATTATCAAAATATCATCACTTTGATTATTACTGTAATCCATGAATATTTTAGTAGAGTTCGTTGTTATTATAAGAAGGGGACCAAACAATACAACGTATATACCTATATTAGGAGTTGATAATGTTTTTAAATAAAATTTAAAACTTTATTTTGATAATATACTTTCTCCCAGTTCCTTTTAATTTATCCTTTAAATTTGTTTGCTAGAATAAGGTTTCTGTACCAAAATCACCTCTCTCATTTCTCTATCTCACTTTCTGCCTAATCAATAAAAAAGTTAAAGCATGGATTAAAAAATTATTTTTATTTTATACCATTCTTTTAAAGGAAGTTACGTGGTTCGTTATCTTTGTGATGAAAATGAATATATTAAATGATAGCCAACAGTGTAAAATTGTAGCTGCTAAAAAAATGGGAAAAGATTTTTTTGAATTCGCGTGTCTAATTTTTATTAGTAGAGTCTTTGTGAGACAAAGAGAATTCATCACAATGTTTTTTTTATTATAACAATTGTAGAATTTTCTAATTTACCCTTTAATTTCTATTTTCATCCCACGATAAATACATGTATAAATTAATTAAATAGATATCATAAGCAAAATGGTGAATTCATCTATAACTAAAAAAAAATATTAAAAAATATCAAAAAGTGTAATTGACTGAAGAATAATTAAAATAATTTAAACTTTACGTATGAGAGATAAGTAGGAAAGCTTCTTAAAAACTCTAACAATTAAAAAGAAATAACGAAATATATGATAATATTTAATAAAAAAATAATTAAATGTATTATCAAGGTAAATCGAAAAAAAAATCATACTTTATATAGTAAAATAAATTACTTATATTTTCTATAAATATCTGATTCAAAATTTAAAGATTAAATTGAATTTAATGAAATAACTATTTTTTATACAATAATATAATAAATTTATTAATAAAAACGATTTAAAAAAAATAATTACAATAATAATAATGAAATTTAATAACATAATTATTTCTATTACATAAACATATAATAAATTAATTAATAAAAATGAATTTTTATATAAAAAATAAATAATTACAATAATAACAACTAACGTTATTAATATTATCGTTATAAATAAGAAATGAGATTATAAAAACATAAAACAATAAAATAATAATAACTACAAAAGTAAGATAAAAATATAATTAAATATGATTTATCTGAAATAAAAACTACTTGGTATTATAAGGTTCTCTGAGGAAAATATTTTTATTGGGATGTAAACTGATATTTAAAGCTACAATGAATATCTCTCACCAAACTCTGCTCCATCCACAACTGTATTCAAAGTTCAAAGGCAATTTATGGGTTTGGCATTTTTTGTTTCACATTGTGTCAAAGTTTGAATTTCACATTTAATAATTTATGACACACAACATTACACAGAACACAATCAATGTTATAACATGGTGGGTTCACTGACTTCAACAACTTACAAAGAATATCTTAATTCTCATTTTTATCCCGGTGATCATAATTTCACTCATCCATTCAACCAAATATCATTCGTTATTTTTAAAAATTTAAATTTTATTGAATTGACATAAAATTGTTACCATTATCCAAAAATGAACAGACTGATAAGCTATGTCAAAAACGTATTTAGACACTTAAAATCAGTATTCAAAATGAAGAAAGAAAGAAAGGAAGATGAGAAGCATGAGAACCGAGATGGGGCGTCGCAGCACGTGGTTATGCGGTGACTGAAACCCAAAACACAGTTCAAATTCAAACTCATTTATTGCTTTTAGTTCATTCGTGCCATTTATTTGACATGGCTTCAATTCAAATCTTGAACTGAAGGCTGAATTCACATCAAGGAATTAAAGTTGCAGTAGCACGTGGAAATTATTCCGAAATCACTTATAATTTAAAAAAACTCAGGAACCTACACAGTCTCAACTATTATATGAATTAAATAACTAATATTAAATATTTTACTTTGGTTTAATATTTAATATTCGTTATTCCTTAAACAGAGTACACTACTACTTAAGAAAACAATTTAAAAAGCAAAAGCAATTCCTTAGCCATGTGATGTGAATGGTATTTTGTTCTTGTAGTATTTTAAATGTACTTTTCCTTCCACTCTCGCATTGAACGCTGCTGTGTTTGTTTCTTTTGGTATTCTCTTCTGGTGAACTCGCGGGTATTTACGCCCATTCTTGTTTGTTGTTTATGTGTGTCATTCATATTTCCTTCAATAACTTGGTTCCTAATCTTCTTAGGTGTAAAGCACAAAAGATGACATATCATTTCATAAAATATTCAAATAATTTTATATTTATAATAGTTTCGGCAATATAATTTTCTATATTTTATTGTCTAACACTTCTCTATTCTTCTCTTTTTCATGTGTAAAAGTTTTTTTTATTATTACATTCCACATATACCGCTGTTAATATTGTAAGGAATATTTGTCTTGTTTAGGATTTCAAAACTATTTCTATAAAAATTAACAGTTTTATGAAATGAAAATGCTGGGTATCAATCCGTACCTTGCTCATGCCAGCGCTCTTTTAATTCATATTTTTTAATGCAAATAATTAAATAATAGTAGTAATTGAAAATTATACGAAAAGACAGTTTTCGCCACTCAATCTTTGGTGCAATGTTATCAATATTTATATATATAATTTAAAAATAACATTTAATTTTGCCTATCATCTTTAAAAATAATATGATCTAATATAAAATTTTGTTCGATCATAAAATAATTATTTTATGATTAACATAAGATTATTTGTTAACATATTTATTTAATATTTTATTTAAATTATAAAACAAAATTTAAAAAATTGTAACATAAAAATCACCCATAAATATTTTAATACGTTTCTCTAATAAATAAATAAATAATATTTAGTATATATCTTTAAAAAATATTAGGAGTATTACATGTTTCAAATGATATTATTTTATAAATGAATATATAAAAATAAGTAAATGTAATATTTTATTGATATTCGGGAGCAATATATTTTAAAAAAAATAATAAAACAAATCATTAAGAAAATAATAATGTGATTTACAGGTTAATTTTTCTAATATTTGATCAGTAAATAATAATTAAAAATAATATTTTCTACTTGTTAAATTAATCCTTCTCTAATCAATACGTACTTTCAAACTATTTTAAACTCTTTATAGAATTAATTCATTTTTTTCTTTTTATTAATAGTTAAAGCAAATTTCTTAGAAACAACATATATAAAATTAATCAAAATATTATAAAAAATAGGATAAATAGTAACTTTTTTTAGTTACGCGATTCATGTACATATATTGAATGTCAGTCGATAAGCTCGTGTGACCGAACAATTGGATATACTTATCGATTAATATATTATTGTTTTCTTTCTTATCTTACGCTTTACATTTTTTTGTTATTTATTTGTTTAATCTTTAAAATCTTTATAAGTTTAATTTACATCTTCCCTCAAAACACAGTCATTATTTCCATAAAAAATTTATAAAAATCCTTTCCCAATGGTGTTATCTTCCATTATTTCAAAGATTTTCAATTATTTTTTACTTCACCGATAAATTAGAAAGTAGAATTATCATATACAAGTGATGAAGGCATTCCTTCAAACCACAGAGGTATCTTGCCTATAACAAACACATCACAAACATTATGCAATACTTTGATTACTTATAAATTAATAAATTAATTGAAAGAATTATTTTAAAAGAATATTAAGATTAAAAATATGAATTTGAAAATCGAAATGTTAATAAAAAAAATAAAGGAAACTGGAAAAATATTAGAGGACTCGAGGCAAATATTGAAAGACAAAAATAAAAAAGGAATAAAATAAAATTAACTATAAGTATAAGAAAGATGAGAAGAATAAAAAGATAAGAAAAGCTGTGACGTATGCCTTATTTTAATATTATATTAATATTATTGTGCAAGAAAACTTCAGTAA